TCGGGTAAAACTATTCATAAAAATTATACTTACAAAAATATCCAATAATTTTAAATATTTACACGGATATTTTAGAACAATCAATTCAATAATTGATTCCTTAACTGAAAGAGAGCTCTCGAACCCCTCTTTCTCTCTTTCTCTCAGTAATAGTTTTTACTTGGCTTCTGGTGTTCAGCCCTGCTGGCTGAAATGCCAGTGGGACTGAGGCAGTTTCTAGTAGTGGAAAAGAAATCCTTCGACGTGGTAGGGGAAGGGAACGGGGTGAGAGTGTACGAGAATGGTTGGGGTTATTGTAAATCGTAATTTTCCCAGAAGGAAGATTTGAAGTGGTTGCTCCAGAGCTTTAGGGAGTTCAGGTGGGAGAAAAGTGTATGGGAAAGATATCGCCAAAGCAGTTGGAGAACACTTCGTATGTCTCTGGGAAACAACAAGCAAGGTAAATTTTTGGTATTCTCGGAAGACAAGGAGGTGGCGAGTAGAAATTTAAATAGAATCACTCTTTCGGAGGGAGATAAAGTAGATGGCTGGTGGCAGTTTATGGAAGCTATCCATGTGGTGGTGGATATCGAGCTAGTTTCTCCAGTTTGGCTAAATGGGTGATAAGATGCCCAGATTGTATGGCGGAGTGGAGTGTTCGGCTGGAAAGGAACAGGGCGACCTTTGCGGAGGTGGTGAGAAAGCAAGAGGAGAAAGGTGGTCGGGTAGGGCAAACTATGTTTCGGGGCTGTCTCGGGTGGACCCATCTTTTTGACCCATGTATAATGGGCCGAGAAGGATAAATAATATGAAATTTTCACGGGTTGAAAAAGAAAAGTGAGTTGATCAACCGGAGCCCAGTCAAAGGAAGCGGATTAGGAAACTCTGGCAACCCAAATCCGCTCAACTCGACATGCCCATTAATTGATTAAAAGAAAAGTTTAAGGGAGAGTGAGGGGTGTCGAAACGGATGATATTGCGTTGTGTAAGGAGAGTGAGGTTACGGTTCCCGAAAGTGTAAGGATGGACGTCTCAATGGGGTGTTTGGGGGATGAGGAAGGTGCAGAAGCTGATATTGACGGAGGTATGTATGTCGATTCCGTGATATCTGAGGAGGGCTTTGAGATAGAGGAGATGAGTGACATTGATGGGCATACGCGTATGGATAAGGCGTTTTCCATGGCTTTGGTGAATGTTACGCAAGTTGATGGGAAGACGATTCTTGGGTACGAGGAGGATGCAGCGCTGGATGTAACTCCCATTTGGTGTGAAAGTCCACTAAGGTTGGGCGAGGAAGCGGAGGAAACCCTAAAGGAACAATATTCCATATGGGTTAAAAAAACTTCTTAAAGGTAAGTTATTTGGCATGTCTTTTGATGGGTTTGAACAGTGGGTGTTTAGTTTGCTGGAGGAAATAGAAAATAGATATAAGGTGGTAGAGGGGGAGAGAAAATATGAAAGAAAAAAGGGGAAGATTGGAGTGGTCACTCAAGGAGGAGGGTAAAAAATGTAGAAGGAGGGGAGGTGAGTCAGTCTATTAGGTGTATCTTATGATTGAAAAAACAATATCATGGAATGTGAGGGGGGTAAATGACAGGAAAAAGAGAGGAATTATAAAGGGGTGTCTGAGGAGATGGAAACCGGAAATTGTCTGTCTACAAGAAACCAAAATGGAAGAGATTAGCAGTGGGGTTATCAGTAGTTTGTGGGGTGCTAAAAAGGTGGACTGTTTGTGCCTGCTATGGGGTCGGCTGGGAAAATTCTGGTTATGTAGGATGATGAAAAATACAGTTGTAAAGGATATGAGGTGGGCTAAAAATATTATCCCGAAGGTAGTCGGTGCTAAAAATATTAAAAATTTCAAACCTATTAGTCTTGTTGGCAGCATTTATAAGCTTATATCTAAAATGTTAGCAAGAAGGATGTCTAAGATGCTTGGGGAAGTCATCGGGGAGCATTCCGGCAAGCATTGCGATTAAACTTGAAAAAATCCGATGTAGATTTCTATGGAGTGATGAGGTTGGAGACATAAAATATCATCTTATTATATGGGAGGAGGTTAAGAAAGGAGTGGGAGAGGGGGGTTTGGGATTAAGATCCATTACGGATATGAACAAAGCTCTTCATGGGAAGTGGTTATGGAGATTTCTCAACGAGAAGGACAGGTTGTGGAGGAGGGTGATTGTGGCGAGGTGGGGGGATTGGGAGAAAGAGAGGGGGTTATGAAGCCTTACTATCATTTATTAAATACATCTTATTATGATCTTTGCAAGAATTCTGAAATGCGCTAAATGTTGTGTATTTTTGGGGGGGGGGGGGTAAACTCTCCTCCCTTTTGTTTTATTTT